GCCACCGGGGGCGCGGCAGGCTCGTCCCACCCGCCTCCCGCAGCCGCTCGGTGCTCCTGGACGCCGAGACGGGCCAGCTGCGCCTGGTGGACGGCCGCCACCCTGACGCGGTGGCCTGGGCCAACCTTACCAACGCCATCCGCGAGACCGGGTAAGGGTTGGCCCGACCTCGCGCGGGCCAGCCGGGGGAAGGGGTTGCGTGGGCTCCGGGCCTCGCCTCGCCCTAGGACCAGCCTCTTGTCAGTGACAGCGTCCCATCCCTGTCTCCCTGGGGGCCAGTTTCCCGCCTCTGAGCATCGCCGTTGGGTAGGGCTGATGCAGCATCCCTCAGCTCATGGGGACCAGTCCTTTGCCTTCAGCCAGAGATAACAGTAACTCTGCTCCCCTAATGATACAGTAACTCCTATCCCCACGGAGGCCAGCACTCTTCCCCTCAACGCGCATCTCACCACCACGGGCCAGGGGGATGGTAATAGCTCTCCAACAGAAACTCTCACTTAGTTGGTTGTAGCTCACCCCATGGGTACCAACCCCCCCTCCCCGCCTCCTTTCCACAACCAGAACTGCAGGGCTGAGCTTGGATTCCAGGCCAGTCTGAAAACAGAGTGTCCCTAAATTCACATAGGCCCAGATAGTGTCATTGCTTGGCCTCTGCTCCTTGCTTCCCTCCTCTCTCCTGGTCTAGCGGAAAGTCGATTGGCCAGATACTTAGTATGGAGCCAAGTACTCCATCCTTGGCAGTCATGATCACTACCCTTATCACTGGGACTCAGGCTGTCATTCCGATGTGTGACTCTTACCGAACTCCTCTGCCTGTCTGGGCTCTCATTTCCCCATCTGTGGCTTGAATTTTGAGGATGTGCTCTGGCTAGGAGGTTGGTAATGCCCCTCTCAGGCCTTGTGCCAGAACTTGTGCCCATTCATTCATCCACTCACCTAGTATGCTTGGCCTTGGGGACACAAAATTGAGGAGGGACCCGCATTCAGTGGGGGAGATAGTGGCAGGCAGAAAAATCCTGGGAGTGGGGAAAAATCTGCCTCAAAGCCTTGTCATCAAGGCCCAGGCCCTGGATCCAGGCTGTGCTGGGGATCTTAGAGAACCCCATGTCCGCACAACCTCCCGCCCACACCATCCCATCCTGGGCTCATCCTGGTCCTTAGAATACATTGCCCTCTCCAGCTGGCATGGCTCCTCCCGCTGCTGTCCCCATCCATTTTGCCAGCATGCACTAATTTCTGCAGGTGTTGGGGAGACACAGGACACTGGGGACACCTCCATTCAGGTGCTTTGTGGCACATGGGAGGGTGTTAGATAGTTTGGAGATTGTGAGGAGAGGATTTGCTGCAGACATAGGAGTTGTGTGGGGCTAATCTGGGAGGGCTCCCAGGAAGAAGCAGCCACAGAGTGGGCTGGCATCTATGGAGGGAACCAGAACTCTGTGGCAACGTGACTCTGGAATCTGGTGACCTGGTCTCTGCTGACTCACATATGTTTTGGGCCCCACTTAGCAGAGCTAAGAGAGCATGACAGTTTGTGCCTGGATGCCTAGGGGATAAGGCACAAAGGTAGGGCCCAGGACGGGGAGGGGCTTTGGCCCCAGCAGGCCCCCACCAGGCTGTGTTGCTCTCAGTTATGGAGAACAGGTGGGAAGAGGACTCCCTTGATTTTGATGGATGGAAGGTTCTTGCTGGTTCAGCTCTGGCGCTGTGTGCCCTTGGGCAAATCACTTCACCTCTCTGGGCCTCTTTCCTCCCTTGAAGGTGAGGCTCAAAAGGACACTCAGGGGGATCACAGAAAGCACCTCTGTTTATTTACTAAAGGAAGGAATGAGTAAAAGAGAAAGGAGTGGGTGTCTTCTGCCCCCATTTTACAGAGGGGGAAATGGTGGCCTGAGAAGTGAGCCCTGGCCTCTTCCACACTTCTTGGTCTCACCTCATGGTTCCAGCACCTTTTCTGTCCAGTCTGCCCCTTTCCCTCTGAGTTTGACAGCACTTGGGACTATGATATAGGGAAAACTGTACAGGAAGCCCCTGTTTTATGAGCGGGGAAACTGAGGTCGTCAAAGACACCCTCTTGAGAACTCAGAAGTAAGATGTAAGAAAGACATCTGGAGTGTCCTGGCCCCCGAGCAGCAGAACCTCTGGTCTGCGGGTGACTGTCTCAGTTTTTGGAGGGTGGAAATCATGGTTTGACTCTTCTTTTCACCTAGAATTGGGATCCCTCCTTCTTTCTGGCCCCCGGATTTCACCAGATCCCAGGATTGTCAGGATAGCTTCCCCTTCCCCCATGATCCCTCCTTTTTCAGTTGTTCCCTGACTCTGGACCCACACTCCCCACGTAGCCTGAAACATTTAGGATTTGACTCTTGGGGATGCGAGATGCCCCCAGAAGCAACACCTGCGCCTTCCTGGCTCTGGCCTTGGTCCTGGGAAGGCCGAACTCTCTAGCCTTAACTTTTACCTCCTTCTCTGACCTGATTCCCCACCCCCCGCCCCCAAACCAGCTGTGTGACATAAATCACCTTTGAGTTGGGAGAGGAAGTAAGTACCAGTAAGAGGGAGTTAAGCTATTAGGAAGCTGGGAAACAGCCCAGATCTCCCACCCAACAAGCAGAGTGGAGAAGTGCCACCCAGCTGTTTCTTTGAAAAGTCGCAAAAGTTAAACTTGCACCGTCAGGAATGGGAAAGGAGTGGCAGCCACAGATGAGGTGGTGCCTCCCACATAGTAGAGGGTGTCCAGGGCTCACTGTACACAGATGGGGGGTTGGGGACGAGGGGCAATGTGTGACCCCCTGCTCATCTCTTGTGAATGGTCCGGCTTTTTCCCAAATGTGGCTTCTTCGTTAGACCTTGGAGTCATCTCAGTGGTATTAGCTGCCCTTGACGTAAAATCATAGTGCGACCCATGGACTTTCCAAAAAAAAAAGAAAAGATTGGAGAGACACATTCAGTGCAGCCAACTCTTTATTTTTGTCAAGAAAGTGCATTAAGAACAAACCAGAACAGTATGTATCGATCTTGGCCCATTTTTAGCTAATAAAACACCTGCTGTTTTAAAATTAAACAGGCAGGAAGAATGTGAGCTCTGAATCAAGAACAAGCTAATGGGGACATTTTGCTTTAGAAACACTCGCTTGTCAGTGTTTTTGGTTTGTTTGTTTTTTCGGGGTTTTGTTTGTTTTGTTTTTGGTCAGCAGCTGGGGTAAAGTTTATCAGAGCTGTCAGCCACCACAGCAGTGAGAGATCCCAGAAACCATTTGCTGATGGCCAGGCCTCCCCATTTTACAGATGGAGAAGCTGAGGTGAAAGAGGAAGGAGGTAAGGTATGAGGCAGGGTCTCAGGTTTAATATTAGAGAGATCTAGGTTCAGATCTCTGCCCAGACACTTACTGCAGGTGGCCGGGGGCAGCTGCCTGTCTCCGTGATGAGGCTGGTGACAGCCTTGCAGGGTCATGGAAAAAAAATCATTTGGTTAGGGCCTAGGGCCAAAGGCAACAGCCTCAGAGGCTCCAGCACTGAAATCCCCTAGCTTGGAGCAAAAGCTCATAAATGGGAACCTCTCTCTTTGCAAAGTGTTCTGGGAAGACAGACAGAAGCCCACCCAGCCAGGTTTTCTGAGGAGCCAGGCAAAGTAAATAAACCCCATCCAGACCGACTTGCCCTTTGGAGTGAGGCGGCCCACGAGGAAAGGCAGGAGGTCCACTCTTGAACAAAGGCAGTGACTAATTGCATATTTGTGGTACTGTCGCCTGGCTTGGGGGGTGAGGTTGGAAAAATTGTGGTCTCCCCCTCATCCTTTTTCTTTCTGTCCAGCTATAAAGAATCATGCTGCTCTTCTCTTTTAAATTTTTGAAATGTTTTTCCTTTTTTTTTTTTTTGATGGAGGTACTGGGGATTGAACCCAGGACCTCCTGCCTGCTAAGCACGTGCTCTACCACTGAGCTATACCCTCCCCCCTAAATTTTTGTAATTATTATAACAGGTACTTAACTTATAGTAAACAATCTAGCAGTTTGGAAAGGTGAGATGGCGTGTGGAAGGTAAATCCCTCTCATTCTCTCTTTCCATAAATAACCACGGTCAGCTCTTTCTTGCAGAATTTTCTGTGTGTAAACAGCCCTAAGCATACATACATGCATGTGTCTATAGGGAGGGGTGTGTGTGATGCTTTTGTACGTGGGGTTATTCTAATTCTACCATTTATTCTTCTCTGATCTTATTTTTTTAAAAACAACTTTGTGTCTGACATCTCATCAGCACAAAGCAGTCTCCCATATGGATGGATTATCGCGTCAGGACGCTAATGGTGGATATTTCCGGAGGGTCCAGTTTTACTCAGCTCTGGTGAAAAACACTGCTGTGATCAAGGGCCCTCATTCGCATCTCCAAAGGCTGTGTGAGCACCAGTCTGGGGATGTGTTCCTCACTGCTGCCTCAGCAACGTGGCCTTGACTCAGCCTGTTCCCCCTAGAAGGAGCAGATTTTAACCGGATGCTGTCTGGTGGAAGGCCACCGACCTCTCTGTTATAACTGGGACTTGGCTTCTGAACAGCTTTTTTGGTTTTATGTAATTTGTGTACAGTCTCCCTTGATCCTCTGCTTTTTTTTTTTAAATTGCAAGGGGATCTAGACGCTGGGCCCTGTTTTAATTTTCTTCCTATCACCAAACCTATTGGAGCTCTTCAAACCTCCCCTCTCAGACTCGTGATGAGACAAGTATTTAGTGAGCATAAAACATGAGTTATTTTCTGGCATGTGCCATAGCAGCCCTCTGAAGTGGGAATCGCTGTGCCCATTTCACGGGTGAGGAAACTGAGGCCCAGAGAGGTTAAGCAATTTGCCCGAAGGTATGCAGTTGATAAGAGAGAGACCTGGGGATTCAGACAAAGGCTGAGGGACCCACAAGCCCAGACTCTCTTTATCCTCCACTCGCCTTGAAACTTAAGATCTTTATCCTAGTCTCCTGTGTTTTGCTATCCTTATCTGTGGTTATATGTGAATCATTCCCCAGAAGTTCATGGCTCCCATGTTCCTTTGATAAGAATGAGCCTCTTCACCTTCAAGGACAAAACCAGCCACCACAAAACTTAGTTAAGTTAGAGGCTCAGAGCACATACTCTGTATTGTTAGTCTCAAGTCTGCCACTTATTTTCTGTGTGACCTCTGGCAAGTGGCTTCACCTCTCTGAGCTTTGGTCGCACATCTGTAAATTGGGAGAATAAAATTCATAGTGTAGGGTCTTTAGGAGAATTTAGAGAGATAAATAAACATGTGATGTGCTTAGTGCTGGGGGTCATTGTTCTTTGTCGTAGGGGGCCTCATTACCAATCCCCACAGCTCTGTCTTATCCTGTGACTCAAGTTATTTGCTTTGGAACATTCAGGGCTCAGCTTCCTTCTTTTATTTTCCCTTTCCTCTCTCCTTTCCCCACACCCCTCTGCAAGCTCCTACTTAAACGTCAAAGCCCAGAGCAGCCATCACCTCTTCTGTAAAGCCTTCCTAGATTTTACTTAGTAGCAGCAGGAGGCGTACCTCCTCAGAGAACCTCCGTGGCGTGTTACTCCTTTTCTCATCATTGCAGTTACATTCATTCTTCGGTCCCTTCAATGTCTGGCACCTAGTAGGCCCTCAGATAGGCTTTTTTTGCCACAACTATCTGGTGTGAGTATTTTGATAGTCATTTCCTCTTCTGCATCTTCCCTAGGGCACAGTTCTTCTTGTCCTGGAGCTCTTTGGTGGCTTTTTAGCCAGCCTCCCACAAGACAGTCCTGGCTGAGTCTGGCTCTCTCTGTCTAGTAGCCCCTTCAAGGTTTCATTACTATTTTTTGATGCCCTCATTTTCTTAATAGAAATTGCCTTCACAAGTGTTTTCCTTAGTTATAGAAATCACCTGGGTAGATATTTTTGTGTCCTTGGAGCAAGAATGAAATCCAGAACCATAAAGGAAAGATTGATAGGTTTGGCTGCACAAAACCAAAAACCACCCTACAGCAAAGACAAAAGCAAAAATCAGTTAAAATACAGGCATTTTCAGTATTAATGACGAGTCGAGGGCTAATATGTATATAGAGAATTCCACCAGTCAATAAGAAAAGATTAAAAAAAACCACAGTAGAGAAAAATAAGTAAAGATCATAAACCAAAGAACTATAAATGATTGGAAGTTGACACAACATTGTAAAATGACCTATTACTCAATAAAAAAATGTTAAAAAAACCAAAGAACTATAAATGATCAATAAAAATAAAATATCTATAGCTTAACTAATTCAAGGACTATAACTGACATGATTGAATTTCTCAACTGTCACCATAGTAAGGATGAAAAAAATTGATAAGAATCATTTTAAGCAAGGAAGTGGGCAGCCATGAGTTTGTACATTGTAGAAATGCAGTGTACACCCCAGGCATCACCTGGGGGCCGGATGGAAATACAGGGTCTCAGGCTCTACCCTGGACCTCCTGATCAGAATCTACTTCCTAACAAGGTCTTCAAGTGACCTGGATGATCATCAGAGTTTGAGAAGTGTTGTTTCAGAGGAGAAGTGGGCGCCAGCCTGTCTGGAATTGAATCCTGGCTATGCCCTTTCTTAGCTCTGTGACCTTTGGCATGTGTATCAGCTAGTATTGGGCAACGGTGCTGTGTAACAAATCACCGCCAAACCCAGCAGCTTGAAACAATAACCTCACAGATCCATGGGGCACTGGGGCAGCTCTGCTTCATGCAACAGGTCTGCAGACCTGGTCAACAACATGTGTCTCTCATATTCTTGGGACCAGCAAGCTGGCCAGGCATATTTTTCTTGTGGCAATAGCAGGAGCACAAGAGGGCACACAGAAACATGGAAGGCCCCTCAAAGACTCATCTCATAACTGATACACAGTCACTTCCACCATATTCCATCAGCCGAAGCAAGTCATATTACATGACTGAGAAAGTCAAGGAGGCGAGGGAGGACACTTGGCCATTGGTGAGAGGGACAAAAAGTCACAGCAAAAGGCAGGGACACATGGGGAGGGGGCCGCAGTGCAGGCTGCCACAGCAGGTAATGACTCCATGCTTTAACTTCCTCCTCTTTTGCCCGATGGAGACAGTAACAGTGCCTGCCTTGTGCAGGACCGTGGGATTGTCATGAAGATTAAATGAGTTACTAGATATGGAAGTGACTAGAACAGTGCCTGGCATGGATCAAACCCTCAGTAAATATTAGCTGGTATATTGTGGGAGGTTGGGGGCAGTGGGAATGAAGCTTAGTACAGCTTTGGGGGAGGCTGTTTATTGATATTTTTTAAAATGAAAAATACAGGTGCCCTTTGACCCAGCAGTTCGTCTTTTAGGGATTTAGCCTGACATGTGCACAGACACAGACTGACGCACATTCATGTGCACAGCAGTTGGTTGGTTTTTATGCCTGAAAACTGCAGACAGTGGTATGGCGAGCTGAGCGCCCGTTTCATGCTTGTCCCCGTGCTGACCGAGTGTCCCCTCTCCTCCCTCTGCAGGTGGGCCTTTCTGGAGCTGCACACAAATGGCCAGTTCAACGACAGCCTACAGGCCTACGCGGCAGGCGTGGTGGAGGCCGCCGTGTCCGAGGAGGTAAGGGCCAGGCTGGGGGACCCGGGATCCCCCACTCATCAAGTGTATTCCCCAGGGATCTTTGGAGGATTCTGAGATATGTGTAGAGGGGGCACCCCCGTGCCCCCAGCCTTCCATCTTGGGGAAGAAAGGCTCACATATGTTTGTTAAAAATTTACACTAGGTACTCTTTGATGCATATTAAAAATACATAACATGGGGGGAGGGGATAGCTCAGTGGCAGAGCACGTGCTTAGCATCCACGAGGTCCTGGGTTCAAGCCCCAGTACCTCCATTTAAAATATAAATAAATACCTATACACACTAAAACACAGATGAACCTTGAAAACATAATCTTAAGTTAAAGAAGCCAGTCACAAAAGGCCACATGCTGTATGATTCCATTTATAGGAAATGTCCAGAATGAGCAAATCCATAGAGACAGAAAGGAGATTGGTGGTTACCAAGGGCTGGGTGGAAGGTGGAGGGGTGCCGGGCAAAAGAAGGGTGACTGTTAATGGGTATGGGGTTTCTTTCTGGGGCGATGAGAATGTTCTGGAATTAGGCAGTGGTGATGGTTGTGCAATTTCATGAACATACTAAAAACCACTGAATTGTACATTTTTAAGTGGTGAATTTTATAGCATGTGAATTCTATGTCAGTATAAGTGAATGAGTGAAGGACTGAGAGCTGTAGCTACCAGGGGTGGGGTGGTGGGTGCCTCTGGGGTAGGGGAGACTCTCAATGTATGGGGAGGTGGTCACACACTGGGTCAGGCCAGCGCTGTTTTGGGTGCTCAGTGGAGAATGAGACATGATTCCATCTCTAAGGGCCTCATAGCTGGCCAGGAACCCTGGGGCAAGGCCGGCAGTGGTTGTCAAATGAGGAACCCCAGACACACACACCAGAGGCTTCGCCCATGTTATCTCGCTAAGCTTGTGCACCAGCCCCCAGAGGGAGGCCTGACCACCCCCACTGAACAAATGATGCTGAGGCTCAGAGAAGTGAAGTAACTTACCCAGGGTCACACAGCCAGTCAGCAGAGGAGTCAACATGCAAACCCAGCTCTGTCTGACCGGAGCCTCTGCTTCAAAGTGGTTTGTTCTGCCACCTCCCCCACCGGCCTGTGGGCTTCTGTGGGTGGGAATTGTGTCCTGTCCCCAGCTGTGTCCCCTGCATCCAGCCCAGAGCCTGATGTAGGACAGGCACTTGGGAACTGCTTCTGGAAGTAGCGGAAGGCTGCACGGAAGAGGTGGCATCTTAATGGGGCCTCAAAAGATGAGTAGAATTTGGATGTATTTCAATGAAATGGTGATGGAGCAGGGGTCCCTAAGCTTTCAGTCTTGGGGCTATGGATGCTTCCTCACTGACGTGTGTGTTTTGGAATATCTCCAATGTGGTGGGGGAATGAGGCTGGAAGTTACCCCTAAACCTTTAAAGTCCAGTGAAGTCTGTGCTTTGGGAAATTACAAATCCACATCATTTGGTAGGTTCAAATCTTGGCTCTTTGGTTCATTACCTGGATGACCTAGGGTAAGATACTCACCTGCCCCTGTCTCGTCTCCTCAGCTGGGAGGCAGCGATAGTGACAGTACCACTTTCCTTACAGCGTATCCTGAGCTGTGTCTGTATAAATAGTGCCATTAACCTTAGCTCTGGGCCACCAGCCCCTCCTCTGCAGGCGACAAGATCAGCAGACTTTCCTCCCCCTGCTGGCATGTCAGCTGGGTGGTCTTGGCATCCTGGGCCAGGCCTGGCTGACCTTGGCAGGGCTCACTGATGACCCTGCGGTCAGCTGGCAGGGCAGCTGGGAGGCTGGCTGGTCTAGGATGGCCTCAGTCACGTGTCTGGGGTCAGCTCTCCATCATCTGGGCTGACGGGGTCGACTGGGCTCAGGGGGCCTTCCCTCCGCCCCCCAGCAGGCTGGCCCAGGTTGGTTCATGTGACCTCTGGGCAGGGAGGAGCGGAAGGCCTCTTGAGGGCTGGTGGGACTGGCACAGGATTCTCCTGTCAAGTTCAGTGCTGTGTCCGCAGTGCTCGGGGCAGGACGTAGTAGGTGCTCCAAAAACGGTAGTTGTTGAGTGAGTACATGTATAGATGGGGGGTCTCCAGTAACAAAGGGGGTGTAACCTAGGGCAGACTGAATGCTGAAGGCTTTCAGAGGAGGGAAGGTTCCAGAGGCATTGGGCTCTGCTAGGGGTAAGAGCTCGCTGGGTGAGAAGGGCCTCGGGGGAGAGAAGCCGGTGTGAGCAGAGGTACAGAGGTGGCCTCACTGGGACTCCTCGGCTGTTTGGAGACTTGGATGGGAGTGAGGACTCTGAGCCCGAGTGGGGAGCCAGTGGGGTCCTCAGGGGAGAGAGCAGCCCTGCTGCCCCGCCCCTGCCCTTGCCCACCTCGCCCGCCCCACAGCTCATCTACATGCACTGGATGAACACGGTGGTGAATTACTGCGGCCCCTTCGAGTATGAAGTCAGTTACTGCGAGAGGCTCAAGAACTTCCTGGAGGCCAACCTGGAGTGGATGCAGGAGGAGATGGAGCTGAACAAGGACTCTGCTTACTGGCACCAGGTGGGCACGGCCCCTTGCACAGAGGGGTGGGGTGGCAGGTGGGTCTGCTTTGGGGACCTGCTGCCAGTGCAGCTGCTACTGTTCCAGCTGGCTGACTTGTTAGTCTCCCGCTCCCCTTTGCCAGCCCCTTTCCCCTCCCTCCCTCCTTCATCCACCCCTCTACCCATCTGTCTACCCATCTACCTGTCCATCTACTTACCCATCCTTCCATTCATCCACCCACCCACCCATCCATCCACCCATCCACACATCCATCCACCCATCCATCCATCTACCCATCCATCCACCCATCTAGCCACCCATCCAGTCACCTTCCCACCCATCCACCCATCCATTCCATCCATCCATCTATGCATCTAGTTTGTCAGTTCCTCCATTCACCCACCCACAAGCCTATCCATTTTTCACCCTCTCCTTTTCATTTACCCATCTATCACCTCCCTGCCCATCTTAGCCCAGTTGTCAGTTCTTCTGTCCACCCACCCTGTTGATATACCCCATTGGTTGCCTGCCCATCTCTCTGTCCATCATCTACCTGTCTGTCCATCTACCCTCTTAGCAACCTGCCCAGCCATCCCTCTGACCAGCTACCTTGCCTGCTTCATCATCTTTCTTCTGGCCAGAGTCTAGACACCTCTCAGTCTGTCCATCTGTTGGTCCATCACCTCTGCTCTGTTTCTGCTCCTTGTAAATCTCACCAGGGGCTGCCTGGTTCTCTGGGGATGATGCCCACACTCCTTAATAGGGCCTCAGGACCCTCCTGCACCCTCTCCCTCCCCAGCCTCATCTCCTACTGACCTTCTTGATCCGTGCTCCAGCCTCCCTGGCCTCGTTCTGGTTCCTTGAACAAGCTGTGTTCCCTCTTGCCTGAGGGCTTTTGAATGTGCTTTTCCTTCTGCCTGGAACACTCTTCTTCCTCCCCCTCTGCCTGGCCCTCCCCCGCCATTCCGCACATCGGTGTCACCTCCCTGCACTTCTCTGTAGCACTCTAGTGAGGCCTTCAGAGTCTGTCTTCAGCTGGCCTTGGGCTGCATGAGGACAAGGCAAGAACCACATCTGCTTTGTCCACTGGGATATCCCCAGTGCCTAGCACAGGGTCTGGCACATAGTAGGTGCCTTATAAGTAAAGGTTTGTTGAGTACTTACAGATGAAGGAGTGAATCCACCTTGTCCCGTTCCTACTTCATGTGCTGGCTGAACATCTGTCCTTTCCTCCACCCTCCCATCCATCTAGGTGACTGCCTCTCTCTCTGTCCTTCTGTTGTTTAACTCAGCAGCCACCGTCCATCTTTCAGCCCTGCCTGTCCATCCATCCATCCATCCGTCTATCCTTTTGTCCATCCATCTTACAGATACTTACTGTGCCTGGTGTATGTCCAGCACAGGCCAAGGCCCTGTGCAGGACATGGTGATATACTCCATGGTTACAGAACAATGACAGTGACAGTGGAGGGGAGTCAGGCACATGAGACAGGTGTCCTGAGCCAGCAGCACAGCCAGTAACTAAATTCAGAACAGGGAGCAGTCAACAGTGGGTCAGAGTGGGCTGGGAGGTTTCCTGGAGGAGGTGGCCCTTTGAGCTGAACTCTTAAATCGGGATGATACGGGGTTGGCACAGGGCAGAGACATAGAGTTAAGTGATGGCAGGAGGGTGCTTGGCATGGAGGGTTGGGTGGTGGTTAAGGGGGGGATGTCAGGGCTGGCTGAGCCTGGAGGGTGCACCTGGGCCTCTCTTGCTGGAGCCCCTCCCATTGCAGGAGAAGGTGTGAGCCTGGGGGAGAGGCCTCACCCTCCCTCTGCCCCCTGCCCTCTGCCCCCTCCCCCTCCCCCTAGGTGCGGCTGACCCTCCTGCAGCTGAAAGGCCTAGAGGACAGCTATGAAGGCAGTGTGATCTTTCCAACTGGGAAGTTCACCATCAAACCCTTGGGGTTCCTGTAAGTGCCACCCCCAGAGTGGACAGGGTAGGGGAAAGGGCCACACACCTTATAGTCAGACAGACCTGGGTTCCAGTACTGGCTCTGCCACTTCCTGGCTAGGTGGCCTTGGACTGGTCACCTCACCTCCCAGAGCCTCAGCTTCCTCCTCTGTATAATGGGTATGTAACAGCACTCCCAGCAGATGTGGTAACCCTCCGGCACCCTGGCCCTCCACAGCCTGTTGCAGATCTCTGGGGACCTCGAAGACTTAGAGCTGGCCCTGAATAAGACCAAGACCAAGCATGCTTTGGGCTCTGGCTCCTGCTCCGCCCTCATCAAGCTGCTGCCTGGCCAAGGTGACCTCCTGGTTGCCCACAACACCTGGCACTCCTACCAGTACATGCTGCGCATCATGAAGAAGTACTGGTTCCAGTTCAGGGAAGGGTCCCAAGGTGGGTAGATGTGGATGGATCTGTGTGTGTGTGAGCATGTATGTGGGTCCACACTGGGGACATTACTAGGACATGTGGGCCTTGGCCCATACACACTGTGGTCACTGTAAGGCCATTCTGAGTTCATTTTATTTTTGACATGTCTATTTCCTTTTCATTTTTATCTCACAAGATGTATCAGTAGGCTACTGCTGCATAACAAATCAGCCCAAATTTAAAACAACAAAGTCTTAAAACACAGCTTTATTTTTGCTCATGTGTCTATAGGTCAGCTGAGTGGTTTTGTTTTTCTCAGTTAAGCCTGCTGATCTTGGCCGGGCTCATGATGCTTCACTAGTCAGCTGGGGTGAGCTGGCTGACCTAGGATGGCCTCCTCTGTATGACTGGGGTTGGATATCAGCTGGGATGATGTGACAGCTGGGCTACCTGGTCTTTTATCCTCCCACAGGCTAGCTCAGCCTTGTTCATGTGACCTCTGGGCCGAGAAGTATAGAAGGCCTCTTGAGGGCTGATTGAAACTTGCACATCATTCCATTGCTCAAAATAAGTAAAATGACCAGTTCAGATTCAAGTGGTGGGGAAACAGACCCTACCATTAGATGTAAGGAATGGCAGAGTCACATTGTAGATGGTGTGGATACAAGCACAGGGAGAATTACAGCCATTTTTGCAACAAACAATCAACTACACAGGAATGCAGAAATGCTTTCTTTCTGTCACATGAAAACTTTGCCACGCAGACCCACATACCCCATAGAACAACCGCCTCATTCCTGGCCCTGGTGTCAGCCTCAGAGGTAGCCACTGCCAAATGTTTGCAGTGCCTCCTTGGCCTGGCAACCTCATGTTGCCAGGAGGGGAAAAAAGGTGGGGAAACATCTACCCTCATTCACTGCTAATGGGAGTCCGAGCTGGCACAGCCACTTTGAAGAGGAGCCCCGCCGGCATCTAACAAAATATAAAATCTGTCACGCCCGTGATCCAGCAGCCCACTGGCTCAGATCTGTCCCTGGAGAAACATTTCCATTTCTGCATGGGGACTGTGTACAAGGTCATCAGCTGCAGTAGGGGTTTGGAGACAATCAAATGCCCATTAATTTAAACTTCAGTCAACTTCAAAATTGACATTTGTACAGAGAAGTGTGCACGGTGTTAAGTATACAGCTAGAGTGTTTGCATGTTGAGCACACACCTCTGTATAGCACCCAGATTGAGAAGCAGCATCCCCAGCTCCCAGCAGCTTCCCTCCAGTCCCTTTCCAGGCTCCAACCCCACCCCATCATGACTCTCTCTCACCGCCTGGATTAGCTTTGCCGGATTTTGAATGTTTACAAATGGAATCACGCAGCATGTACCTGTCTGCATCTGGCTTCTTTCACTCAGCATAACACCTGTGACTTTGATCCATATTGTCGTCTGTAGCTCTAGCTCTCTCATCCTCATTGCTGTGTATCCACTAACATCTTAATATCTTTTAAAAACCTACATAAGCCATACGCATATGTTATGGAAAATCAGAAAACACAGTAAAACATACACATACAATGAAAGTCACTGAAACACCCAAAAAGCCACAAGAGATCATTTCTGCGAACATTTGGTTATATTTTTTCCCTAGACTTTAAAAAAAAATGTATCTCAATTTTCCATTTGTTTTAACTTATTTTTATTACACAAGTAATATGTGAACACATTGTCTCTGCCACAAATCCCAGCAATGGAGATGAAGAAATACACCTCCCTTAATACTCTCCTCCCAAATTCCAGACCTCTCCTAAGAGGAAAGCACTGATACCATTTTGGATCCATAGATTTTTTTTTTGGATGCATTTATATATGAACCTTTTAAAAAATTAATAGACTATTTCTTAGAAAAATTTCGGTTGACATAAATTGAGTAGACAATAGAGAGTTCTCATTTATCCCCCTTCCACTCTCCCCTGTTATTAGCATCTTGCATTAGTGTGGTTCATTTATTAGAAATGATGAACCAATATTGATACATTATTAGCAACCGAAGTCCATGGTTTACATTCAAGTTCACTCTTTGCATAGTAATAGAGTTTTATGGATTTTTGACAAGCGTACAATGACATGTAGCCAGCATTAGAGCATTCTAGAGAATAGTTGCACGGCCCTAAAAAGCCTGCTTTCTTTAAAAACAAAACAAAACAAAAACATAAGTCAGATCATGCTGTGGGGACTGTCTGCATCTGGCTCCTCTTGCTCCACAGCTGGCCTTGGTGAGTTTACTGTACCATGTGCAGCCCACCTTTTAACAGCTGGTTGTGAAATCGTCACTAGTCCCCAGCTGAGGATTTGAACCATTTACAGGTCTTTGCTGTTTCAAACAGTGCTACAGCAAACAAGTGGGCCCCCAGAGGTGTTTCCTAGTGGCACTGCTGGGTTAAAAATGGGTGTAATTAAAATTTTAGTCTCTAGATAGATACAGCCAAATTGCCTCCAAAGATGGTTGGGCC